TCACAAGATGAACTGGGATCTTCAAATTATAAAGAGCTCCAAAGAAAGGAAACCCAGAAAAGTAAGTATTTGTAGTCACCAACTTTTTAAAAGGACACCGTCAATTTAAAATCAAAGCTACTGAAAAATAAAAGTTCAAAGTACAGTTACATATGGAAACTGTCAGAGTTTCTCTGCCCATGTATTTTGTTTTGTGTTGTTCACAAGATGAACTGGGATCTTCAAATTATAAAGAGCTCCAAAGAAAGGAAACCCAGAAAAGTAAGTATTTGTAGTCACCAACTTTTTAAAAGGACACCGTCAATTTAAAATCAAAGCTACTGAAAAATAAAAGTTCAAAGTACAGTTACATATGGAAACTGTCAGAGTTTCTCTGCCCATGTATTTTGTTTTGTGTTGTTTAAAACATGTTTCTTTAAAAAATATTTTCCTCTCCTCTGTTGCTTTGTGAAAGCCCCACACTAACACCAGGGGAAATTAACTGTAAACAAAAGACTATACAATTGTTTATATTTGTTCTAAGTGGTCATAAAATATCACCAAATCAGAATTCTTCACACATTTACACAAGTGAATTATATACTTACTCTTCATAAATGGAAATGACTAGAGAAGGTACAAGGCAGTATAGAGGGTTGGGACAATGGGCAAAGTGATTTTTTCTAATTGCTTTTGTTTATATTGATGTTGAGGGTTTCTTATAAAAATAGTAAGCCAAAAATGCTATTTGTGTGAGTTTTTTTGAACCAATGGTGTCCCTTTACTTTTCTGTATGAAAAGTGTTTACATGTGTATGGTAGTAAAAGATTTATTACTGCCAAACAGGGCACCTTTAAATAGAAAATCGTAGCTACACCGTAGATATGTTGGTTATGTCTCCCAGAGGCTTTAAAACATATTTATAAATTAAAATAATTGATACTTGATTTTTTATATTTTAATTTTTTCATAATAAATTTAAAGTAATCAAAAGGGATATAACAAAATGCTGCATGATCCATGATGATGAGCTTCTGCAATTGAGTTCTGATTATTTTTTCATGTATTTGTTTATTTTGACAGGAATATGATGGCTCAACATAATGTTTGGAAGGTGGATGTTTATAAGTCATCCCCAATGACTACTGTCTATATATCCCTTCTCCTTTATTTGGATAGCATGGTTTCTTTTTCTTTTTCTCAGTTTTGTGAGAGTAGAAAACTTAAGTGAATTGACACTTCACTAGGCAACAGTCGTTTATACATCCTTGGTCACTACAATGAAGATTGTTAATATTTTCTATGGCATTTCTATGGTATGAGGAGAGGCTAAAGAGACTGGGACTTTTCAGTTTAGAAAAGAGGAGACTGAGGGGAGATATGATAGAGGTCTATAAAATCATGAGTGGTGTGGAGAGGGCTGATAAAGAAAAGTTATTTATTAGTTCCCATAATAGAAGAACTAGAGGACACCAAATGAAATTAATGGGTAGCAGGTTTAAAACTAAAAAAAGGAAGTTCTTCTTCACACAGCGTGTTGTCAACCTGTGGAACTCCTTGCCAGAGGAGGCGGTGAAGGCTAGGACTATAATAGAGTTTAAAGAGAAGCTGGATAAATTCATGGAGGTTAGGTCCATAAAAGGCTATTAGCCAGGGGATAAAATGGTGTCCTTGGCCTCTGTTTGTCAGAGGCTGGAGAGGGATGGCAGGAAACAAATCGCTTGATCATTGTCTTCGGTCCACCCTCTCTGGGGCACCTGGTGCTGGCCACTGTCGGTAGACAGGATACTGGGCTAGATGGACCTTTGGTCTGACCCAGATCGCTTGATCATTGTCTTCAGTCCACCCTCTCTGGGGCACCTGGTGCTGGCCACTGTCGGTAGACAGGATACTGGGCTAGATGGACCTTTGGTCTGACCCAGTATGGCCGTTCTTATGTTCTTATTATAGTATTTCAATGTGAGATAATAAAATTAGTAATGATGGTTTTAGACCATAGCTAAACTTAGTCAGCAACTAATTCTCTTGAAGTTAATAGATGGTGAGCCTACTCCTGCTGCTGTGTAAAGGCCATATTAACAAATCTATAGCATTCATTCTACGTATTGATGCATGTGATTGGATGATCAATACTCATGTTCTAGACACTTTAAAAAGTTTTTGAAAAGAATATATAACCGGTAACGTCAAAGTTTTCAAAAACAACCACAGATGTGTGGTGCCTGACTTGGAATCCCTAGGGCTGGAGTCTCACTGGTGCTGAAGGCCCATACTTCCCACTGAATTGGTGTTTCATACAAAAGTTTTAACACATTGGACCTAATTTTCAGAAGTTCTGAAATAAATAGGAGCTTTCAATTCTCAGCATCAGGTACAAAGTAGCTCATTGTGGGGCATCCTAAAATGGAAGCACAGGATTTAAAAAGAAAATGTGGCTGCTTTGAGTCAGAAATTGAGAGCTGCTTCCCACCACCGCCTCAGCACAGGCAACTCGTGGTAGCACTCAGAGGGGCAGAGCCCCCCCTGCCACTGCCAACATTTTAATTGGGATGTCCCCCACATGCTCCCTCTCTAGGTGGCCCTCTCTGCAGCCCTCCCTCTCCAGGCATCAGTTGCCCCTGCCCCCAAAGTTATTAAAAGTCTTTATTCAAAAAGCCTCTAAGGATGCCATACAAAAATATATCTACAATTATTAAACTGTTCCTCTCCTAGCATAGCTGAATGACAGGTGTAATGCTCAGCAACTTCAAACTCACACCTGAATTTCATGTCAGTAGACACCAAATAATACAGACAACTTCAAACTCACACCTGAATTTCATGTCAGAAGACACCAAATAATACAGACAACTTAAAGCAACAAGCAAAAGGCACTGTGTGACACGTGCTCTTCTGTTGCTGAATGAATAAGAACAAGAGGCTGCTGTGAGTGTTCCTTTAAATAAACTGGAGATTGTAAAATACCTTGGGATTGAGGTATTATATAAATAGGAGAGGGGGAAATGCTGGGGCCATCAGACTCAGTGAAGACCCTCTCATTGACTTCAATAGGGCCAGGATTTCAAGGACAGTTCGTTACAGGGACACCGTGTTCCAAGCGGATGGAGTGAGCAGACCTCTGGCTGGGGAGGGCAATAAGCTTGGTGGGCAGCAGTTAAGGAGCCCAGGGCTCTCCGCTGGGGAGAGAAAAGCACCTCCGGAGCCACTGGGGCAGGCCGGGTGGGCGTCCCCTGCAGAGGTCACTGGAGGCAGCTTTACCTTGTAGCTGGGCTGAGAGCGACTCCTGGTGCTGCTGGTACTTGAGCGCCACCGCCTCGGCTTTCCGGAGCTGGCTCTGTAGCTCGTAGTACACCACGGCCCCGTAGAGGAAGCCGAACGCGACGGTCAGGAGCAGAAGGGTCTGGAAAATCCGCTTCTGTTTTCGGGAGCACATCCCGTTGCCCATAGTCCCTTCGCGGGTCCCGGAGCCCCCCCACCCCGGCGGCTTAGCGGCGGCAGCTGGAGGAGGAGGAGGCAGCATTGGGCACCAAGGGACAGAGCCGGGAGGAAGGGACCCTGCGCGCTTCAGCCCCCTCCCACTGCGCCTGCCTTGACACCGGGGCCACGGTGAGCCGGCTGCGGGCAGAGGCACACCCGGCGG